CATGTTACGGAGGTATTCTTTTACTGTTGGCTGTTAATCAGAGTCGGTTCAAGCTAGTCATACTATGGAAGTCGCCGAATATTACTCGACATACGCACAACAGCTTGAGGATTATTTTGAAAGATTCCTTCGTCAGACTAAAGAATCGCTCACTCCAGTTAATCAGCAGATGGTTGATGATTCACCAAATGATATTCAAACACCAGCTAACGAAATTTTCGCTACTGTAGAAGCGAAGGTAAGATTAATAACACCAAAAGGCAGGCAGAACTCCGGAACTTTTGGCTTTGAAGGGGCCTGTTGATACTCCAAGGCACATGCTCGTTGAAATTTATGCTTGGGCTTCAATCACCACAGCAGGAAGTATGGTTGGAACATGCTTAGGTTATACTTTACTGGCACCTTTGATGCCTTATCTCGTAGACGTCGAAAGTGCTGCAATAATTAGCTATCTAGTACTACCGCTGACTGCTCAGCTGATATTTCAAAAAGTAAGCAATCTTACGCCTTCTGATCCGACATAACCATTGAAGAGTGCGCTATTTTTTTAATACTTAGCAAACTGGTTTCCGCTATTTTTACAGTATGGTTACATCCAGTCTCTGAGTCATAAAAGCAACGTGAATCTCCGTTTTCTGTCTCTCGGTTTCTGCATGGTGCAAGGAGTTTTCAATGGCCACGTTATTCACAACATTTATGTCACAGGACAGCCACCTGCGTTTTTGACCCCTGCCATCATAGCTTACTCATTCGCGGTAACACCACATATTCTAATATGACATTGTAATCATACAATATTTGCAGAACATGCCCCAAGAAGTTGGCAACAATCGTATCGCACAGCTTTCCTCATCACTCAGCTGTGCGTTAGCGGGAAACATCTCTGTCGGAGCTATAACTGGATATCTGACATCTTCGTATTTCTTGCTATCATTGATATATTGTGCAATTGCTGGCATTGTGATGCAGTTTATATTTAAGCGAGTTCACCAAGAAGTTAGTCCTGATTGGTTTATAAGAAACACTAAATAAATTCTAAACGTTTTCGCTTATTCAGAGACCACTTCATACTTTTCAACACGCTTTAACTTCTCTCATGATTATTGCAAAAGGACTATTCTTTCTAATTTTTGGATCTTATGCGTGCGTAAGCCACTTTTTCTTATAATCCGCATATATTATTGGCATATTTCAGGTACTTGTGAGCATCTCCCTTAACGAATACTAACAATTCATCATTATCAAAGAAGCATTATTGACTGAGCACCCCATTCCCCCATGTTCACATACATTACCTCTAGTGCAATGAAATTTGTGATGGTTTACAATGCTTAAACCTTAAAAACTCATTTCATACGCCGGAAAATTGCGGTCAGCCTTATTGAGCCGCGGTTGTGGTTATAACCAATACTGCTGAGGTTAAGGCAAAATTTGAACGAATACCGGTACAGCTTAATCCTGCTTTAGGAAATTGCGCGAGGTCGCGCTCGATCTCCTCTGAAATTACAGTAGTTAAACACACCTTTATCAACGAGATCTGATCTCCCATACTATTCAAATATCTCAAGACATCCAGAATATGGCACAATAAATCCTTGTCACCGAAATAAGTGCATTTCGATGAATATTGAATACCGCGCTTCACCTCTCCTTCAGAGAGCCTCGCACTGGCGCTTTGGAGAGCTAGGTTAACACTTTGAGGAAGTATTGAACTTAATCCAATAAGCCATCATATGCGCCCCTCTTCTGAAAGTTTTGGTCTTGCCTTTCAAAGTGTTATTGAAGAAGAAAGACGCAGACACCTTTTATCCCCCGCAAAGCCCGTTCATAGCAAAAAGATTGAACAACCAACTTTACACGTTTTCACAGCGAAATTGCTCATATTTACTTAGTGTGCTGCAGTTAACATGATAACGTTTGATAAACTGCTCTTTGACTTTCTCAGGACAAATGAATTAATTTCGCGACAGACAGAGAAACCACACAC